ATTGGCGGTCAAGCTATAGATCCTGGCTACACAGGAGTTGCAGTGGTGGGAAAGAGAGGTGTGAATAGTCCCGTTTGAGGTCTTTTCTATAGGTCTTTTATACGTTCTAATATAATTTTAACCCTACCATTGCTTCAAAAATAATGTAGATGTGGGCTAGTGATGATGATGACTCTATAATTCACGTGTTCGATAATACATAAGTATTATTTGTCGTATGGCGGTGGATTGTCGATAGCTACGAGTATTTTCTAGGGCAACTTAATTGTGTATTGAAGGAAGCCTTACAAAGGCTTGTTCTCGTTTGATGTTCCAAATTCCGACAACACACCATGTGACCTAAATAATAAAATAATCGATTAAGTCGATTAAGTGAAGCTTTTGGGCTCTGTGGAAGTTTTATAGCCTCATCAAAGTAGTAAAGAAATTATGGTCAATGGGACTATTCCTACCTCTCGTTCCCACAGCTGCAACTCCTGTGTACCCAGGATCTACAGCTTGACTGCCGATAAAAAACCGACCAGTGATGGTCAAGTTAAACTGTCATTGGACCCGCAAATTTTATCAAAAGAACACAGGGGGAGTTCGAAGTTAAGGTGGTTAAGGTTCCACTTCCCTCCAGTATTAAGTGGATGACAGGTGACAAAACAAAGGCTTAAATAACCATACGAATAGATACGGACAGTAAGCATCATGTTAACATCATATCAATAACGACCTTAAAGAAGCCCAAGTTAACAGTAAGACAACCCAGGACCAAGCCGCCTGGAGACGCATGACGCTGAGGGCCGACCCCAAATAAAATGGGAATGGACCAGGCAAAGAAGAAGAAGAAGTAAGCATCATGCTAACAGTATTTTCTTATTGTTCCAGGCATGGTTGGAGCGCCAGATGTCGTCAAGCCCTCAGAGAAGGTTGAAGATCACTCGCCGCACGTGAACGGCAGTCCAGTGTTCACAATCAGCAGTAAGTTCATCATCATCATCTTCATCATCAGGTTTTTAACCTCGAATGCAGGAACCCCTCTTAATTTAACTCAGAGGAAAAGCGGATTTAGGCTACACTTAAAATTATCTTTTTCCTTCTTTAAATTTATCTTGTATTTATTTTTAAAGAAACTTAATTAAACGCCGTATTAAGCTTGCTCGATTAAATACAACAGTTTAGGTATTAGAGTATATTCAGCCACAGGACGTTCACTTGAAAATAGGCCACCCCCAATGATTTTCACATCGCCCGGTTGGTAACGGCCTGCATCCAGTGCCTTCCTGCTACCTTTTTGAGGTCATCGGTTCACCTTGTGGGTGGACTTTGACGAATATATGAAACTAAAATAGACAGAAATACACTTGTTAAGAATTGAGACGTAATTTTGGCGTAATTTACAGTTACTACATTGTGTTGTCTGTAATTTGAGTGACACACGAATTGCTGTCCATGTAAATTAAGAATTCAATGTCCGCATTGTTCATACAGGGTGTCCCAAAAACAATGATAACATCCCAAATCGATAGGCCTCCTCATGATCTCTCTAATTAATCTTTTTACCTTAGTGAAAATATCACATAGTTTTCAATTGTTTTTCTCTTGCAATTAAACAAACTAGGTTTAAAAGTATTAGAAAAGTAATTAGGTAGATAAAAAAATAATTAATTTTCAAAAAACAATAAAATCTTGAAAACTATTGATATATTTACTATGGTCAAAGTTTGTTGATATTGGGACACCTATATGATGGCACATGAAGATAAACACTGCATCTTATTCAACGGTAACAAGTGCCAAAAATGTACAGCTTGATCTGCTGGTAACTTTAATTTTGAATTAAGGTCATTTAAAATAAACAATCTTATTGTTTTAAGTATAAATGCGTAATTACTTGTTCTAAACCAAGACTAGTGTTCGATATGAATTGATTACTTTGATTTAAGCTCTTGTTTGATAAACAAACGTTATCAGCAGCGATAAATCTAATAATTAGACACATTAACTACGTATTTATTTATTGTTATGATGTTTGAAAATAATTATTCAATCATAGGTATTAAATCAAAATAAAACTTTGGACAATTTCACATAGCGCCATCTAGCCGCAAAGTAAGCAACTAATATGCTTGTTTTATGGGTGCTAGTATAATAATAATANTACGGTCTAACTTAACTGGTAGCAAAGGTGAGAATATCGTACAGTTGAACTCGAAATTTTGGGAGCACCGCGACGCGTGCTGTCCCTTGCAATGCTTACCTCCCACAGTATAACGGATATACCTACTACATTATATAGTTTTTTAAATATGTAACATACATTTTATACATAGTAACACCCAGACCCGTCACACAAATTAAAATTCATCATTTCAATTTCCGCCCGGCCGGGAATCGAACCCGGGACCTCTCGACATAGTAGTCCGTTCCGAACCACTACACCAAACGGTTGACCAATTCAATTTGATTTCTGGTAAGAGTCAGCTATCATCATCATCATCATCATCTGAAAATTATAAATAACTTGAAAAAATCGAACTGCCTAAGGCGGGAATTAAATCCACGACCATCCTCTTGCCGACTGGGCGACTTTCAAATTAGTTTGAGATGTGACTCTTAACGCTAAAAATTAAATAATCATCATCATCGTCTGATATAAGTAATTTAGGTAGGTACATAGAGGAAAATTTATAATATTAGTAGGATTGCTTGATGAGAGAAATAAAGATGTTTTGTCGCGTGCTTTTGATTTAGTAGAAACCGGTCACCACGCCCACGCATTGTGCGAAATAAGAAAATTCTAAGTATGGAAGTATCTTCGCCATGATGTTAAATTATTACATTATAATGAACAAGTAATATAATTTTTATTACTATTGTCATTAAAATCGACGCCATTAACGATCTTTAGTTACTTTTCCTGCTTCCGTTATAATTTTAATTCCATGACACGAAACTGGCGGCCATTAAAATGCAAGTCACCTATGACATTGTCAAGAAGTCCTTGGTGATAGGAGAATTACCTACAAAAGACGCAGTTCCTTTATGAAAAGAAGATGGAAAATATTTATTTGGCAACAGCAAATTGCAGAAAGTGACAGTATAACTAAAAATAATCATATTGATGGTAGGTACATGGATAAGTAGCTAATTAGTTTTATATAAAACTAGCGGCCGCCCGCGACTTCGTACGCTTGGATCCCGTTTTACCCCCTTAGTACTGGAGTTTCGTAAAATCCTTTCATAACATCTACCTGCATGCCAAATTTCAGCGCGATCCGTCCAGTGGTTTGGGCTGTGCGTTGATAGATCACTATGGATTATTATTTACATCTTGAAGCAACTTCTACAACAAAACACTAGTATTTTCTTCAGGTAGACTGTATATTTATTTATTTTTGTGTAACTAATTCTTGTAATTAGCCTATATTACTCATTAAAATCAAGATAAGTACCTAGGGAGTTATTTGAAAAATCCGATTGCAGATCTCGATTTAATATCGATCAACAAAGAGTTACGCACTTAATCGATGCCAATCGATAAAATCTGACGGTTCAATCACATCACTAGTCATCGACATTTCCTGCGTATAATCTGAAAAATATTTGAATTTCCTAATTATATAAGCATCTACAATGAATGATAAGGAAAAAACTTGTGATTTTCTTAACGTAAGACCATAATATTATTAAATACCATAACAAACGCGTTAAAAATATTTATTTTACTTATTATGCAGCTCTACCTTTGGATACCTCTGTTTAAATACACAATGTTGGTGTTCTTTGCATGCCTTTTTTTCTTTTTCTGCTATTAGANCCATTAGACTCTTAAAATAGGTTTTACTTACCTACTCATTCGTTTGAGTTCGTTACTTACCTACATATTATTTTTGGTCAACCTAGCATAGGTACCTAAAACAATAAAAATAACTAATGTTTTATCTCTTATGCCTTTGATTGGTTGAGTTTCGATACTATTTAGTCCAATCACAGAAAATACTATTGAATCGAATTTTTGGAATCTTTTCTGAATACTTACCGAGTTTTTCAAAATTTTCAGAACTAACAAAAAGTCTATTTTTCTTATTTTTTTAACTCTTTTTAGTGATTTTATTTTACCTGCTGATTTCGTAGTTTTTGCTACATTCTTCAAAACTATGATATTGTGTGTACCAGTTGGAACTTACGAGTATTTGGCTGTTCATCGCATATATGCCATGAATTTATAGGTCAAAGCAAGGATTATGTGTAATCTTTCCATGCTAGCTTAGCATGATCTTAGTCGATTGTATTATTATCACTTAAATAATTAGTTGTATTAAAATTGTAATAATCCGATAAGCTTGTATTGACGTAATTTACAACCTTCTTATCTCTAGGTTTCTTCTAAATCGCTTAAAATAGGTTTTGGGCTTTCTTACTTCCTTTAACGGGACTATTCCCAACCCTCGGTCCCACCGCTGCAACTCCTGTGTAGCCAGGATCTACAGCTTGACCGCCAAAATATCCCAACCAGTGCAGACCAACTTTGTCCCGGGGGAAAGTTATACTGTCATTGGACCCGCAAAGAAATTAATCAGAAGAACAGGGAGTTTGAAGTTAAGGTTCGACTTCCCTCCATTGCAAAGCGGATCTCACTACCTTTCTGATTAAAGTTATTTTTACATGAAAAATATTTTAAAGAAGAAAAGATTTTAGTTTGAAAAATTACATCCCACATTACATTTCACATAGGAAATAACCAGTAAATGCATCGATTGTCAATTAACCGCATTAATTAAGAATTATCACTCAACTTCTTGTTTACATTGCAAATGATACTTTCCACTATCAACCATACACACGGATACTGCAAATGATTTATACCAACATCCCTTCGTAAATTATCAGAAATAATGTGAGTGTTATCACAACATTATGCATTCAATAAATAAATATTATTAATAACAATAACTATTAACCAACCTCGATGTTATCATTATTTGATGCGTTGGTGTCATAATGTGTAGACGTTTTCGGATCAATTAGGTACTTTTATTAAACTCGTTCTCAAATTATGAAACGTGCCAGTTACATTTCAAGTTACCGAAACCGCGATGCAATAAAAAATAAAAATCTTACGCGCCACATTCGATATTTGAAATTTAAACTTTTGAATTGTGCGTTCTGTCAACACTGCGTTTGTTTGAATTTATTTTTTATCAGGGTATTTGCTCAGATCCCCGCTATCACATAGTTTTTATCAATGATTTACTCGGTGAGTGCGAAAGAATCCGACCTAGAACGTTGTACAAGTTTTTAATGAGGAAACTGGCATTTCCTGAAATCGTTTTAACAGTTATTCGGTTTTCAGTGTTCCTAACTAGCTGTTCGTGAAGTGTAGTGAAATTTGGTGTTATGTCTTCAATTTTGGGCATGGGAGCGAGTTTGGAGAGGTCTTTTGATACGTACATCAAGAAAATGAAGGGATACACTATTTTAGGTAAGTTTTAAAAAGATAACTCCGCTTTTATTACTGCTATGACGTATTTTTTTAACCAGAAACTGGTATAATAGACGTAATAGATATGGATTGATAAAAATAAATAAGTATATTGATTCATTAAATGAAATAGTCATATTCATGACGTTCGTGATTATTTTATGAATCGCTACGAAATACTTCCGTCGTCAATCTTACGTAGTTAATTGATTACTTATCCGAGTGAGTAGTTGTACGAAATACGTCACTGACACTATGAGAGACTATTGATTGAAAGGTGAAGCCTTTCAAGTATGGCGTAAAATGAAATATAAATAAAAATCAAATTAAATTAAATTTTAAGCTGCATGTGTCAAACAAGGCTGTATGTTTCTTTAATAAAGATAGATAAATAAACAAATAAATATACGTTTAGTTTAAGCAGGAAAGTCAAGAGAACAGAAAAAAGGGACAGTCGCAAAACAAAAAAAATATAAAAGTACCCATACGGCCAAGGAGTTTGGTCGTACATTTATTTGAAACCTTTACTATTTTTATTAGCCCATCAGCAGACAGACCAGAGTGTATGTGACATTAAATGTATGATGAATTGTACAGCGCAACTAGTGGAAACGTTCAAGAACTAAAATTTTCATATATTTTTCAACGCGCTCACAAGTGAGGATATTTGATGTAAACTCACACTCAACCCACTGTACGGTAGGTAAATTCTGATATTACAGTATTATTTACCCGACTGCACCGGAAGGAGGGTTATGTTTTTTTACATAAGTACATTCCTACAGCGTATTTTCCTTGTGATGTTAAGTAACAACATAACTATTATGCACATGCTAATTGGATAGTACTTCTATACATACACATAAGGTATTTTTAGAAAGACAGTTGGATTAAGTAACAAAGTCCTTGGTAAATGGACAATGCATTTACGAAGTGTAGTCGCTACCGGCAATTTTAACCGACTATTGCATTATTCGTAATGGTCGACAAGCATTAATAGAAACGTGTTATCATTAGTTTTCTTTCGAAGTTAGCGACAGAATTGCTTTAATATGTATTTCTTTTACGAAGACTGACTAACATAATTATCAACAAAAACCTCTAAAGAGTCTATTTGGCACGTCGCGTATTTTCATATTGAGGCTACGTGAACTAAGAAATTCAACCGCTCGTGGGGTGAATGGGGGTCCAAAATGTTTAAGGAGAAATACGATCAGATGGACTTTTATTCAAAACTTCGCGGGAGTACTCCTAAGTGTTGTTCAGGTTTTTTCAGAATCACCAATAAAACCTCGTGGCTCTGGTATCGGGTCTATTCCCGCCTCTCGTTCCCACCGCTGCAACTCCTGTGTAGCCAGGATCTACAGCTTGACCGCCATAAAAACCCAACCAGTGAAGGTCAAGTTTGTCCCGGGGGAATGTTAAACTGTCATTGGACCCTCAACAAAATTAATCAGAAGAACATAGGAGTTCGAAATTAAGGTTCGACTTCGAGGCTTTGGTAGGAGCTACAACACTATTTGCCTGTAGGCTAGGTAGGCATCGCATGGAGTAGGTATTAGTCCACCAACTTTTAGTCGGCCGGTAAGCAGTTCAGCCCGATTTTAGTTTGTATGAAGAACCGGCCAGATACCAAACCGGCCGGATACCAAATCAATGTAATGTGCGCACTTTCATACATGTCCATACTGATTAACAGCCCGACCCAACTACTTATCGGCTAACTAAAAGCCGGTGGTCTGCGCATAGGCTAATTACATAAAGATCGCCGGAAAGTTGTTCCTATTAAAGCAATTATGTATATGTTACGGTCAAAGTGATAAATGTGAAAATTATGAATAATCGCCGGTTATTATGAATAATTACAGCATGATTTGGTAAATGTGATTAATATGAGGTCATTTATGTATGTATAAAACTAAATAGGCGGCTTAGGGGTGGCCCAAGGGCCACCCCCGCCGCACCTTAACCTATTTTTCACTTTAAATCAAAACATTATGTTATAGGCATCATGGAAAAGTAATATTATGCAGGAAACACTCCAAACTCATTATGCCAAATTATATTAATAAATGATATCAAAACATTCAAAAGTTTGGCTGTACACGAGCACGTACACAAGATGTTGTTCTCTTTTATTAAATTTGTTAGTACTAAGCTTAAATTGATAAATAATTACTGTTAAATGTGATTCATTTATCACTTTTACCGCGACTGTCGGTAATTATTCATAATAACCGGTTATTATTAATAATTTTCAATTTATCACATTAACCGTAACATAGGCATTATGGCAAAGTAATGTTACGCAAGAAACAGTCCAAACTCATTTTGCCAAATTATATTAATATATGATATCAAAACGTTCAAAATGTGAGACTGTACATGAGCTCTGTACACGAGTCGGTGTTCTCTGTTATGATATTTGTTAGTGTAACAACGTCACATTTATCNATTAAAGTTACATTAAGAAATAATCACTAATAAATGTGATTAATTTATCACTTTTACCAAGCCTGTCGGTAATTATTCATAATAACCGGCGATTATTCATAATTTTCACATTTATCACTTTGACCGTAACATAGGTATACACCAAATTGCCAAAACATGTTCCTAAGGATTTTTGTTTTGTAAGTTCTTTTTAAACAAAAGTATACGGAAAATATGAAGTTTTCCTGTTATCAAAGATTTTATTATTTACGTTTTGTTTATTGTACCATTTTGGCTCGTGCTAAGAAGTTACTTCAAACACATTGCTAATTTTTATGATTTTTTTATTTTTAATGTTGTAAAGGTTTATAAATCAATAAGTAGGTATAATGATAATAATGTAATATATATCATTATACATACTTAGTATTTATTATAATTTACATGATAAGAGGCGGAGGTAGATANGAAGGTAGATATATATCACTCTATGACGTTATTAATTTAATTATTTAATAATGCAGCATTATTTCTTGCCTTAAGGGTTGCCTACTTGTTTTATTAGCACTTTCGTTTTTAAATCAGAGGTCAATTTTTAATTTTTTACCGGGTCAACTAATTATCTGTACTGTAGTGCGTGTTTTTATCAAATCATTTGATTTTATTTATAGATATGCTAATAATGCGTTAAATTAGGCATAGTAGTAAATCATCTTACGTCTTCAATTTTTTTTTGTTTATAAACTTCAACCAAATTACAAGTTTGACGTGCAAAAACCCGCTTTAATTACGGTGTCAAGATTATGAAACATGTAAAGTTTGCCTGCACCGACTCCAAAAGTATCAATCATGGTATACCTACATAAATATTAATTCGTCCTTATAAATAAGTAGGTAATTAGTAATTATTTTTTTACTTTTTAGTGTAGGTTTTTTGGAGTCGGTTTTTTTTTAATAAAATTTTACTTATTTCTTGCTTTTTAGTTAACTAATTATTACCTTGATGTTACCACTGAAGGTAGGCGGTACATTGAGACCATATTCTTCATGTCTACTGTAAAATAATATTCCCTACAAAATACAGGTTACCATATAGGAAACCTAAAAAGACCTTAAACCGTCAGCCCACCTTAAAAACATAAAAGAATACAACTGTTGGTCTATTTGTACCTATAATATTTAAAGAATTTACCTCCAACTCCTAAACATTAAGGAGTTGTACCTACCATGACCAGTTCATCATGATGAAATGATGAATATCTGATGTAAACACTTGAATAACTTTAGAAACTATACTTATCTATAAATTAAAAGAATTATCTTCCAACTCCTAAGCATTAAGGAGTTTTACCTTCTATCATCAGCTCATCAATATGAGATGATGATTTCCAGGAGCAAATACTTGAATAACTTAAGAAAAAGTTTGAAAAACGATATACGTGCCTATAAAATTTGAGGGTTGCCCTCGATTTCCCTAGGATCCCATCATCAGATCCTAACTTGGTGACAATGGGACCACCTCAGAAGTGTACCCTATCGAACAAAAAAAGAATTTTGAAAATCGGTCCACAATTGACGGAGTAATCGGTGAACATACATAGAAAAAAAAAATACATACAGTCGAACATATAACCTCCTCCTTTTTTGAAGTCGGTTAAAAAAAGATAATTATCGTTATCACCATTAATTACAATATCATAGTGGCTTGTTTTAATGTCGAAAAACTAGGAACAAACTTCAACCAGCTACTTAGCTGCTACATAAAAAATACATGTTTAAAATATGTAGGAAAATAAGTAGCTACATGTTTATGATTTCGTTGAAAACTTGAAGTAGGTAGATTTTCGGTAGTTGTAACTCTCACACGAAAATTCTCTTCAAGATAAATAAAAATAAATAAATAAATAAAATATTACAGTCGATACCGAGATTAATAAATAATTAATTGAAATTGTCACGTGTCCGATTAAAAAGCAATTGAAAAAAGCTCATTGATAAATCTGTGCCTCCATAAGCCTATATGGTATTTTATCAATCAAGATTTAATTTATCAGCATCCAAAATAATAAATAAACATTACGTTATATTGCCTACTGATATAAGATACATTTTGAGTATGTATGTATATTTCATTGCCAATATCACAATGTTATAAAACTACCTAGAACCGATAAGATTTGTGAATAATCCGCAATTACATCTTGATAAGATTTTGGATAGTGAAATATAAATGGGTATAAATACGCATTTAAATAAGTAGAATCTTTCAGTTCCCGCTTACTATCGGACGCTCGAGCCGCCTGCGGAAAAAAAATTATACACGTGACTTATCAAATGGCTTAAAAAAGTTCACATTACATGTGATATTTAATTCATTTGAAAAAAGACAGTCTGTGTTAACTTTAAAAAACAAGTGTTGGTTCGGGTCTTTCAATATTTGAATTTTCAAAAGTTTTCGAAATTACACTTTTGAATTTTAAAATCAGTGTCGGATTTTCAACCAGTGTTCAATATGACGAACCAAAACGGTGAGTTCGTATATTACTTAACAGGCCTAGATAAAGAAA